GTGGTGTATTGGTGTATTGTGAGCATCCATATCAGATTTACTACAAGCATATTCAGATTTGCGACGAGCATATTCAGAACTGCGACGGCCCATGTAACTCATGGCAAGAAGTTATACGTGGGTTGCAACCTCAATACGGTAAGTTTTTTCACTTCAGTTTGTCATCAAATTTTTGAATTAATGGAAATTATATGGTTAATTTTGAGGGATGTCCATATTATCTGATTATGGTGAGAGTTCCCCTAAAAATTAGGGTTTTTTTTTTTTCAGTTGAACAAATTAGGGCTTTTTCGATTATCCGTGATAGATGCATACTCTTTTTCAATGGAAAATATATTGTTAATTTTAATGTATCCATATTATCTTATTGTGGTGACAGTACCCTAAAAATTAGGGTTTTTTCTTTTCAGTTGAACAAATTACGGGTCTTCAAGTAGACTTTTTCTCCACAATTGCAGGCCATCTCCATTGGAGCACCATTAATCTCGGAGTTCCAGCGAGAGTTGCAACTTCCTCTTGAACTGCTCATGGTGCAAAATTGCAAATACTTCAATTTTTTTTTTCCCTCACTTTCGGCGGCTTTGTGGTGTTGTAATGGAGATGCCTGCCATTTTCTATCTTGCAGAAGAAGACGACCTGCTAGAGAAGGTGACCGTAAGTTGACTCACGGTCAACTAACGATTTAGGCAATAATGATGGATTTTGTATACTTGAGAGACTGGAAATGATTAAGTTGAAATCATGGGTATCAAAACCGAAAAGTATGTAAACTTGGGGTACCAAAGTGAAATTTTCCCTTTATATAAATTTAATTTGTTTTAATATTTTTTTATATATTTAAATTTTATTTTATTTTTAGTATCAGATTTAGGGTGCTTTATTTTTTTTTTTTTTTTAAAAAAAAAAACAAAAATTCCAAGGCCTCGGAAAGACCTTGGAATTTTTCAAAAACCAAATCACAAGTTTTTCAAAAACAACCCAAAAGTTAACCTTAATTTAATAATCAAATCATAAGTGTTTCAAAAACAGCTCAGAGTTACAATCACAGTAACAATAATACTCCTTGAGATTAGTTACCATCTAGCTTCAATTTTCTCGCAAGCTTCAGCACATCCGCTCCATTACTTCATCTTGTGAGATCATCTCTGTTCTGGCCTCCTTGCCCTTGCTCGAGCTCTCCTCTATAACTGTGCTCAAGCTCTCGTCTCTGCCCTTCTTCTTATTACCCACCTTCAACATCGTTTGGTAACAGACCTTAGCCAATCGTTGGTCCCCCGCGACCTCACCCACTAGCTCTCCCACCGGGAACTTCATCTTTATACCATATGAGGACATCGCCGCCTGGAAAGAGTTCAAGCTAGGCCGCCTCAATATGACATTATAAGCTGACTTCGCCTCCACCATCTTCACCTTTCTCGAAGGAGGAGCTCCCAACGCCATTGTCAATTGTACCTCCCCCAGAGGTATCACTTCCGCCCCGCTAAAGCCAAACAACGATGTCTTGATAGGTATGATCTCAACACCTAGGTCCATCTGGTTAAAACACTCATAAAACATGATATCTGCAAAGCTCCCTGTATCCACAAGTATTCTTTCCACATCATACCACGCAATCTCTTCTGTCACGACTAGAGCATTATTGTGAGGCACCAACACTCCTTGGGCATCCCCTGCACCAAACTTCAATTTTGGCATAGTCTGAGCAAATTTAACATCCGTTACACTCTCCCAATCAGCCCTCAAGTTAGCTCGCATAGCACCATTTGAGTCACCATCTGTCGGCCCCCCAGCTATCATGTGGATTACCCCCATTTTAGGAGCTCTTTCTCCCTATTATGAACAAAAAACTCCTTCAAGTACCCTCTCTTATGAGCCTCTCTATCTCGTCCTTGAGCTCCTTACAATTGTTCGTCCAATGTCCATAATCCCGATGGTATCTACAGTAAGGATCTCCTCGTGCCGGCACCTCTCCCTCTTTCTTTGGTAGAGGTTGAGGCTTCGCAAACATCTTAGCCTCCTCTCTCTCTTCCAACATTTCAAACACCTGCCCCCTCGAAGATTTCAGTGGCGTGTAATGTTCACAATTAAACCCCATACGCCCCTATCATCACCCATGTGCTCTCTACTATCTGACTTCCTCTCCTCATATCTATTTTTCTCCTCTTGCTTCTTTCCCCTAGCTCGCTCATGCACAAGAAAATCTGCCTCTGTTTCCTCCATGTTCATATACTTGGTACACCTCGTTAGTAGCTCGTCATAAGACCTAGCAGGCTTCTAGGCTAATGAGTTTCTGCAGTGACCCGTCTTCAACCCTCGCGTGAGCCCTGCTGCCTTAATCTCCTCCGTAGTTGTAGGCACCTCCACACACGCCCGCGTGAACCTAGCCACATACTCCTTAAGAGACTCATTCTCACGTTGTTGGATGTTCATCAGTGACATGTACGTCTTTTCATGCTTCCGTACGCTGGAAAACTGATTTGTAAATAATTCGCTAAACGCACCAAAGCTATAGACGGATCTCGTCGGCAACTGGTAGTCAAAAAGGCCCTGCAACACACACCATCACTGTAACGATGTAAGACAACCAAATTCTCAAAGCTCCTCAAATGTCTACCTGGATCGGAGGAGCCATTATAGTATATGCTTGGCTCCCTGAAGTTCTGAGGTAAGTCGACACCCAACACATAATCTGTAAAGGGGTGACTCTGCATCCTGGGCTCCCGCCTATCCTCCATCCTAGACCACGCGTCTGCACCACTACCTCCGGGCCCATCCCCTGGTTCACCATCCCCTGATCTGGCTCTGGTGACGGGATTTGGTTTACTACTTGCAACACCATGTGAGGGGTAGCCATCGAGCTCTCTCCTCCGCTCCATCCAACCTGTGGTCCACCTCCATAAGGCGTCCTCGCCACCCAAGCCTCCTTCATGCTCGCCGTCCTTGCTAGGTCTACCGTGGACTTCTGCTCATTACTAATCCATCTGCTCGGTCTACCGTGGAATTCTGGTCGTTACTAATCCATCTGCTCGGTCTCCCATAGTCTTCTGCTCATTACTGATCCATCTGTTCGGTCTCCCTAGGCTTCTGCTCATTACTAATCCATCTGCTCGGTCTCCCATAGGCTTCTGCTCGTTACTAACCCATCTGCTCGGTCTCCCATAGGCTTCTGCTCGCTACCAAATCATTTGCTGGGTCTCCCATAGGCTTCTGCTTGTTACTAACCCATTTGCTCAGTCTTCCTTAGGCTTCTGCTCAGCCCTACGTGGACTTCTGCTCGTTGTTGCCGAACCGCACCTAACCAAGCAACTTACTCAACCAAACTTGGTGCCCGTTGATGACTATCTAGCCGAGCTACTGACAGCCCTTTGTTGCAGACCCCGAGCTATTACCTAACAATCTATGGGCTTAGCTAACTCCGACTCATATAATCGGCCAAGTCCCTTCTGGTTTACCGAGCTATTATCATATGCTATATCAGAGTTAGCCGATGTTTTACTGTCGGCTGGGGATCTTTAGATCTTTCATTTAATATCATCATAATGTTTTTAGCATGTTCAGGGGTTGCATTTGCCACCTTGCATTCTGTTAATACGTTTTTTTTAGCATTTTATTTTATTTTGCTTTTCTGAGTTTTTGTTATCTCTTTATATATATAAAAATATATTTATATTAGTTATTTTATTTCTGTAGAATATTATTATTATATTGTTTTCTTTTTTCAATAGGATTCTTACTTGGAGAGGAAGAGATATGGATGAAACTTTATATCTTGTAGAAGGAGAAAAGGGAGAGCCCTGCGGATTTGAAAAGAATAAGAGACAAGAGCAACAATTGTCTCTTTGGAGATATCACGACAAGCATTATCTCTTGGAGGGCTTTGGAACAATTAATTGATTTTTCTTCTTGGAGCTTCAACGTGAAATGAGCTGAGACTTTCTTTTCTTTGGCAAAAAGCAAAGGAAGGACATTAGTTCTTGGGCATAGTATTGGAGCTCTGTGGGCATAATATTGGAGCAATATTTTATTTCTCTTGATATTATTTTGTTATTTCGTATTTTGTTAGTTTGATTTGATAAAGTGCATGTTTGTCCTATTTTTGTTGCGTTTTTCGTGTTTATTTATCTTCCTTTTTCCCCCGTTTTAGGTCGTTTCTTTAGTTTTGCGTCCGTTTCGTGTTTTATTATGTGTTTTCCTTCATTTTGAGTCATTAGGTGTTTTTTTGTTTGTTTTTTCGGTTTTCTTTTGTGTTTTGTCGTTTTTGGTGTGTAGGTTGAAAGATTCGGGCGAATTTTCTCTTCAGGAAAAGTTAGTTTTGAGAGCATAGGAAAAAATGGAACTCAATTCCGAGTTCGGACGAGCTCAAACGAGGCGAAAATGCAAAATGGCGCAGTGCAGCCCAGAATCTCGCGAGTCGCGAGTCGCGAGTTTTAGTCGCGATTCGCCAGAGAAATTCGCGACTCGCGACTGTAACAGAGCCTCCAGCAGCCCAACGACCCGTCCAACTCGCGAGTCAACTCGCGAGTCGCGACCCTGTCGACCCCTATTTTTATTTTTGCTCATTTTTATTCGTTTTAGCTCCGTTTTTCGTGCACTATATATCAAAACGAACCTCCAGTCCTAAGGAACAACCCCCAATATCGTTCCTTTCAAGTTTTCTCTCCAAAAACTCAATATTGTTAGGGTAATTTTCTCCGCTTTTCTTTTTATTTTCTCTCATGCTTGGATTGTTGGACACAAAGATATTTAGATTGAAATCTTGCAAGTCTTAATCCGGTTGTAAGTTTTTCAATTTCATTTTATTATTGTTGATTGGATTAATGTTCTTAATTCCAGTTAATATGAGATTGAATCTAAGCATGAGGTAATCCATTCACCTAGGGTTAGAGATTTTGATTCTTGTTTGAATTATGTGGAATGTGTTTTGTTCAATCTATGCGAGTTGTGTGAATTATAGGGTTAGTTGATTGATCACCATTCTAACCTAGTTAATCGACGTTTAGAACCGAGAGGGGAGATGTCGGTCGATTTAGGCTCGTATAGAGTAGACTTGTTCGGAAACGTATTGTCTATGTGTTGCTTGTTTGAATGAGTTTATCGTTTATGTATGTGCTCTTGTTACGAAGAGTTATTGAGCATAGCCCTCTAGACGTGTAGGCTTGTTAAATCTCATAACCGAACAAATAATCGTTCAACATAGTTTGAAACTTGATGAGATTTTCCAACCCCTAGAACTTCTTCCTTTTCTCTAGAGATTTAATTGTTATTTCTTTAAATTGCTTTTCTAGTTCTAGCTTGTTTTAGTTAATTCACCAAATTAATCGTGATTAGAGTGTTTAGGACTTATTTTCTTTTCGTTTGTGATTAATACCAACGCTAGATTCCGAACCGTCTTCCTCGAGAGATCGACCCAGGGAACAAATCTTTTGATTCGGTACTCGGTAAAAATAAAAATAATTTGCTACAACAGTGCATCTTGTTCAAACTCGCGTTGTGTTTTTCATAGATCACTAGATGTTTTTGGATTGCATGAAAAACATTGTATTTGATTTGTTCTAGTGATATTTTGGCATGTGGCCTTCATCTACAAGTAATTTAACTTGTAGACTAAATTTGAATCTTTCGTGTTATTTATTTCCGCTGCGTATTTGAATTTATGATCTTTGTGTAAAAACCTGGATATTTACATACCTAAAATTCTAACAAGTGGTATCAGAGCTGGTCACTTAATTTAATAAGTGTGATTCTGATTTTTTTTAGGTACTTATGGAGTTTACCAGGTTGCCGTTACCCGCACTTGTTCCGAACCGGCCAAAGTCATTCAACGAGAAGATGAAATATGATGAATATGATGCATCCAAGGAATTCTCGGTTGACAATGAACTTGAAACTGCATCCGGAACTGATTTTAAGATAATCATGGACGAATCGAGGCCAAGAAAAATCAGTCCAGCAGGTGTCGGACGAAATGTTGCTCGAAGTGTCATGACACCTGGCAGGTATAAAAACGAAAATTCTAAAATTTTTTGCTTTAACTCCTTGTTTTGTGATGCTTCGGGAAGGGATTTAGGTCCTCCGAGCAGCCTTCAATTTGTTAGACATGAAGACTATGAAAAGGTGTACGTGGAACTTCATAAACGCTATGCCGTATGGGAAGCGGATAGGCTCGAGAAGGACAACACTAAGTTAAATGATGAGAATAAGAGGATGAAGTCAGAGGATAAAAAATTGGAAGACGAGAACGATGCATTAAAGTCAACCATAACCCAATTGGAGGTGACCATCTCTGGTCATGACCAAAAGTTGGTGAAGGTAAGAGAGGAACTTGAATACTCCCGTCAGACCTTCCAACGACTTAACACCGGTAAGAGCCAAGTGGATGTCCTAGCTGCTCAATCATAAGAAAGCGGGACTTGGTTTTAAGCCTATTATATTTGTTCGTCCATCGGAGGAAACGTGTGAATCTTTTTCAAAATCCACGCCTAAAGTTTTTAAGAATACAAAACAACGAAGGCGTCGGTATGTTTGCCATTATTGTCATGCACCCGAGCACATTAGACTTTATTGTTATAAATTGCATTCATTTGATAGGTCTTTTGAACTAGTGGTGCCTCTCGTGTCCCGTAATATGCCCATAAATCACGGAACAAGAACTAAGAGTAAATCAAAGTTTGTTTGGGTTCCAAAATCTGAGTTGAAACGAAATGTTATTCATACCTCTTTGAAGTCTAATATTGCAGGTTCATGGTACTTTGATAGCGAGTGTTCGCGTCACATGACCGGCACTCGTGAGTTCTTATCCAATGTAGAACCTTATGAAGGTGGGCGTGTTACATACGGAGGAGGCGAACATGAAAGGATCATAGGACGGGGAACACTCAATGTTGATGGTCTCCCAAAGCTTCATAACGTGATTTGGTTGATGGACTTAAGGCTAACTTGATTAGCATAAGCCAACTTTGTGATGATAATCTCCATGTTAAATTTGATAGTAAGTCTTGTGAAGTGTTTGATGAGTCTAATTCATGCATTTTGGCAGGTGTACGAACTACCCAAAATTGCTATCGGGTCAAAACTGCTGAGGATGACGTTCGGGACTTAGTGGACCTTTCGCAAAGCAGTGCTGCTCCAGATGTCGTCCCTGATGTCGCCCAAGATGTCATGACACCTGACACAGCACCAGACACAGCATCTGATACGACACGTATCTCCGAGGAGCAAAATACCATTTTTGTTGTTGAGACATGATCTGATGTAAATTTTACTCATCGGGGAAAAGTAGTTCGGAGATCTCATCCTTCGTCGCGATCTTTTGGTGATGTAACAAATGGTAGATTGTTTCATCTAATGGTAAGAAAGTTGTGTGGTGTTTTCAATAATGTTAATGATAATCTTTTTGAGAAAATTCTTGTGAATAATATGGTGACTTTGCATGATATGAAATCAAATTTTTCGTATTGTCGACTTTTACGAATAAATCAAATGATTGAGAATAATTGTCGACATAGTAATTTCTTAACCGTATATTGTGATAGAAATAGTGCAATTGATATTTCAAAAAATCCGGTTCAACATTCTTGCACAAAACACATAGATATAAGACATCACTTTATTCGGGATCTAGTTGAGAAATATATATTTTGCATTGAGTACATAGGGACGCAGAATCATTTAGCCTATATATTCACCAAGACATTAGATTATGAGGGGTTTTCTAATTTAAGGAAATCTCTCGATTTTTGCATTGTTTGAACTAGAATAGAAATCGTGTTGTAACTTCCACGATGCATCATTGTTGTAACACGAGTTTTTGCATACATGCATTTTTTTTTTCTTTTCATTCATATTTGCATTATTATTGCATAAACGGTATATTTGTTGGAGGCATGAAGTTGTAGTGGTGCATTTTTTCACTTGATAAATGGATTGTTGGTC